AATATATCTAAAATTATGATTTCCTCATTAGAGTGCACAGTTACGACGTCATGATGACATCATAATTGTTCTAATGCGCCAGAGCTTGTTGAATTTGAATTTGTAAGATACTTTTACATATTTTGTCATCACAAATCATTTTTATAACTAGAGTTAGATTTAACTGACTTTTAGGGCCAATATGGACCCTTTATGAATCTACACCTTTGATGGTCAGAAACATTTTAGAAAGTCCTAAAATAAAATTATGGCAGTCCATTGGTATTCTTTTATCTTCCAAATATAATGAACAAAACTGCTCACAACTATTGTATTAACAAAGTTCTTAAATTTGAATACACCTGAAATTTTCTAATTCCAAAAGCATCTTATATCCACTTTATTTCCATGTAATCTATAATTTTAAAGAATCTAGGTTATTGATGGACACCCACGATTAGTCTTTGTTTTTGAGAAGCATGAAGATACTAAGGTTGCAATAGAAAAGTCGAACAAAAATCAGTACCATAGTTAGCAGAAAATAGAGAAACTAATAAACAACAATTCACAAAACATTGGACAAAAAAAATTAAGATTGAAAGACTCGAAACCAACAACAAAAAAACCAAGATTCCCAGAAAGGATAGACTAAACCTAATTTACAAGCTATGTGTTCACTTCAGATAAACATAGTGTGAGCAAATGATTCTTGTTCACAATAAGTAAGGTCAAAACCGAAAAAATCTCTTGTGCAGCAAAAATAAGGAGGCATACAATCAACTTAGTATGACCAGATTTCATTTTTTTGCCATTTCGAGGAAAGGGTACTAATAATCGATTTAGAGGTAATCATATGTTTCATTACAACTGATATAAGTATTAAAATACATAGACTTATGTTGATATGCTCAAATATTTGCGTTGTAATTTTACTTTGACGTCAAAAAAAAATTCATTTCAATATTATTTGGAATTTGAAATAACTTTTAAGTTACAATGTAATACGATACCTTTTAGAACTTGAGTTATCATAGAATCATTAGGCATATTTGGTTAATAATTGTATAATGAGTAGGTAAATAATATTTGAGTGTTGTTCTTGTTAAACTCATAATTTTGTTATTTGGAAATCAAATGACTCAGCGCTATAAATTGTTATTAAAGATTATTTGAAACAATGTTTTTGCCAAAAATTATATCGAAGCACATCCCATACGAAAATAAATTCATTTTTTTTTCTGAAAGAAAATGCATACCATAACTTAATACTCGAAAGAATATTGATGTTGGTTAAGAGTGTTCTTTCAATTCATTTTTTTTATAAATCTTCAAATTTATCAAATGCAGGACATCTTTTGGCATTCATCAGTTGGTCGAATATACGCAAAAATGTTGAGAATACAGTGACGTACATACATCAAGCTATTATACTTGGAATTTGTGAAGGATTACGGATTTTAAAAAAATGGCCTTGGTGTTAAATAAATTCAAGAGAAATGGGGCCTTTGATGCTCGTCTTTAATAACTCTGAATTTATCTTATTCTAATTTGTTCTAGAGCGTTTTGTAGACTCTTGGTTGTCTTTGTTTTTCGTTTTTCTTTTTTTCCATGAATTGTTTGGTCTCTCTTTTAACTATGAATTTGATTCTCCCTTTGGTGTCTTCCGCCTCTTTTTAATAATTTAATACAAGGAAATATCACGAAAGCCTGTTATGTTCTTTTTTATGGAGCATACAAAATATGTATTATGGATAAAAAATAATCAAAAACTTTAATTAAATTTCGGCTTCAATAACTTTTATGCTATGTGCTATTACATAATACTCATAATCGAAGAAATTTAATTAATTGCAAAATGCCTTTTATACTAGATTTGAATTAATTGTTCAATTATAGGAGTTATTATGCACGCCTTTCTTTAAAATGTTTCACTGATGTCAAGCAGATTAACAAGTTTATAGTTTTATCTTTTTTATTCGGATCGTACTTTTTTACATGTTTGAAGCAGTTTTCAAAACTTCCACTTTCTTTTGTTAATACAAGTTTAAAGATCTCTGATGGATAGTTGTCTCATTAGCAATCATACATCATCTCCTCATTTTTCATTTCAAAGCCTACATTCATTTCCAAGGGACGATATCATACTGTTCTCCTTTAAAACTATGAAAATACCACTCCATAGGTTAAAGTCGATATTCTCCTCCAAATTAATGCCTCGATTGTTCTCTATATAGGATTATTCCATGTATTTCAAAAACTAAGAATAAATACTGTTTAATGCAGCGACCATGAATATGATGTTTTCATCCTCTAAAGGTCCTAATGATGATAATCATGTTTGCATATATTAACCTTTGGCAATGATTTTAAAAACTAATCAGGAACTCATCATGCTCATTCGGTATAATATCAATGCAAAACAGCTAACTAATAAATTCCTACAATAAATGTGATTTATGTAAAAACAAATAGAACTGGTATGAGACAAGTATCCACCAATGACTAAATGTCGAGGATGTAAACAACTATATATATATTGGTCAGTGAACGATCTTCAACAATGATCATAACCCGCACCGTACCCTCAGATAACGACTTCAAAGAACTTTTTAAAACACAGTTCGGATTAGACCTGGACTAATAGGTACTGACAATGACACTGACAATATAGCAAGAAAACATAGATATCAACAGCATACAAGATATTTACAGATTTTGTTATTCATATGTAAACTATCATTAAAGATAACAATGCCATACAAGTGTGTTTAAAGGTCTGAAGATAAATATTAAAGTGAAAAAAGATATCCTCTTATAACCAAAAGATAACGCAAAGATTAAGTTTGATTTTAGCTTTGATGTTACTTCAAGAACGGTAAAGAATTCTTTAAAAATAACTATATAAGTCATACATTTATATTGATGTCGATATCGATTAAATTGGATGGTATAAAGTTCTTTGAATAAATGAGATAAAAAGGAGAGTTGATCACGCTTTCAAGATTATAACCCAGTATCACGTCCGGAATCTCTTTAGTGGCTGTACTTGGTTCCTTAAACTGCTTGGCACAAAACGAAATCAGATGTTTAAGTTCGAGCATCAAGTATGATTCATATGATGTGCACTCTTTTTTTTTATATAATAGCTTCTTTTCTTTTAATATTTGGAAACGCATTATTGCATACATTTGTTATAATGCACCTAGAATATTGTTCCGATATCCAAAACAGGAATCACCTTAGTTAAGTTTTTCCTTTAACAGGGGATCGAGTGGTTTTTGGCTTTAGATTTCAGTGTAGCATGTTGTGTTGTCCTTTTTGGTTTATTGCTCTGGTGCAGAAAAATTGGTATCGTTTATGTTATTTGTGCTATTTGATTTTCCAATGTCTTTGTTGATTCTACTCGTTTATTATTTTGATCAATCTTATAATTAAACTGTTGCTCTGAAATCATTTTGGGTTGAATTTAAGAGATTAATATCAACTGGCTTATGATTCAACTTTCAATGATGAAGTTTTTACATAAATCTATTTGCAGGTCTTAAACAAGATAGTATTTTTCTTGTCTGCTTATGACGTTGATATGTATTCAGATACTGAGTGGCAGATATTCTTTGTTGGCTGATTATGAACGTTCTGCTTTCTTACAATCATAGCGAGCTTTTAGTATCTATTTGAGTTAAGAGTTAAGTAATAGTTTAAGCGTCTCCCTCAATGCATGCATTACCCACCCTGCAAATTCACACTCAGAATGTCACAATCGGGAAAGGGACACAATCGGTAAAATTGCAGATCAGACAAATGTACAGGTACAATCGTATTGGTGAACCAATTTATGATGGTGACCGTAAAACTTAAGTAGTGTCGATTTCAACCGTTTTTCCGTATAACTATGTTGTAGCAGGTTTTGTGCAAGAAACACATCCCTGTTAACAAAATTCCTATAGTGTGAAAATGTAAGAGCATAACGTATAACTAAGATACGTAAGGAGCAGAGGGTATGTTACTGCTGAGTATTTGGAAGTTGCAAATTGGAAAGATGATGGCATCACGTTTTATATATTCTAGTTTGAAGTCACCCATCTGTGTCAATATCGAGGTTAGGATCAAGATATAAAGCAGACCTCTGCTTTCTATCGTATTCCTAATATCAAATTCACTGGAATATATGAAATGTGAGCACGCATTCAAATGTAGGTTATTGAGTGACATTACATCATCAAATTAAAGAATTTTGCAAGATGCTTTTTCTTTTTTTATGTCTTGGGGAAGGTTTTGTATGAATTCTACTTCATATGAGAACAAAAACAAGTCGGCCAGTAGTGGTGCACAATAAGTTCCCATTGGAATACCGGCTGTCTGCTGAAATAATAATTTTCCAACCTCAACAAATATGATGTTGATTAATAGTCCACCATTTTGATGATATCATCTTCATTGTATTTGTTGTGATAATCAGTGTAGTTCTTCACAGAATAAAATTTTGCGTGTCTTTCATTTTTCAAGAAAAATTGTATCTACTCTCCCTATTTTTGTACAAAAGGCTCTGTTTAATGATACGATGTAGTCGATCTTTGAATTCAGCATGGGGGAAAATAGAGTAAAAGTAAAAAAATCAACGGTTTTGATATTACTACAAAATTGTAAAGATTGTGAGTAAATCTTTAGAATTTTTAAGAATCCACATCAAACATCGCTGGTTGAATATACATCATCACAATATTTATGAAGGCCATCTTTAATTGTTGAAATAATGGTGGTAAGAACGTTAGAAAGATGTTTGGTCGAACATCTTGACGACCCAGCTATAAAACTTTCTTTATAAAGGTATTTGTGAAGTGTAGGTATCCAGTCTAAAAATGGAAAATATTCATCGTCCTTTTTAATCCTCAGCAAACATCGGAGTTGTTTTTTTATTTTCATTCTTCCACTAATCTTAGAATGTTTTCAATCATAAAAATTATGTCTGATAATCCGTTACAATAGTATTTATAATATGGACACTTTAACTTACATTTTAGGATATGTATGGTAGTTCTATGGCTTCCTTCCTGTATTGTGGACCGGGTAACACATGCCGATATAGATGTTACTGTTTGTATCTGGGATCCAGCTATAAATCAGAAATTTGTTATTGTCATAGCAATAATTGGTCATCATGGATCATTCTTTGTAATACTGTTCTGCTATATTCGCGTTTTTTATACTCTTAGAAAGCGAAACAGATTTGCAAGAAGAATAAGACCAAAACCAGTTACAGTTCATAATCTCTCTGTTATTTGCCCTTCTACAATGGAAACAAAAGTGTCTTCACCGGAAACGAAATACGATGAGTCATCATCACCAGAGATCACCGGAGATCATTTAAAACCAGGAAAGGTGCGAAAGAACTCGAATCCAGGATTAACAGGAACAAATGCAACAACAAGTAAAATTAAACAAGAAGAATCAGATAACAAAAAGCAGTTATCAACTCGAGATAGGAGAGCATTCGTCACACTTACGTACATTATTGTAGGTTATGTAATATGTTGGTTTCCTTTTCATATAGTGTTTGACGTAAGTGCTGTCAAACCAGACGCTGTTTCCAACACGGTGTATCTTATAACATTCTGGTTAACTTATCTTAACTCTACTATTAATCCTTTTTTGTATAATTTCAGCAACCCCGAATTTCGTAAAGCATTTAAAAAAATCTTACTACGAAGAAAATAAATTACCTGATGCGTTTTGATTTAAACTGAGTTGATCTAAATAACCATTGGGTCCTTTTGTAGGGTTTTATAAAAATCACTTTGATTTATGATAAGCTGGTCATCCTATATTTATGCTAGTACCTTATTCTATGTGTCATTGATATAAATACCTTGTTATGAAATACTGTTTTTCTTTTACAAAATTGTATTGAGGTTCATATCCTTCCATCTCATTAAAGGGTTGAATGAAATCGTTGTTAACATGAAGCTTTGATTGTATTATCAGTTAAAATTGTCATTGTAAAGATAACAACACATTAACCTCAATTAATATGATCACATAGCATCAAGAGTAATCGGGGTATATCATATAGATAATATGACACGCCCTTTTTGTAGAATACTTTGCACACAATAAAATATGCCGTTTAGATATTGTAAATAACATTGACGTCATATTTCAAAAGATTTACAAGATAACTTGGATAATATATTTTTCATGTCATGTTCTATGCTCATTCTGAAATTTTAATATCAGTATGCATTATATTTGTAAATAACTTTATACCAAACGTGTCGAATGTTCGACGTTAGATAAATATTTTGTCAGGTTGTCGATAATTTCACTTCCTAGTCACCTGTCACCTACACGCTCACTCGTGAGCGAGAGAAAAAAACAAATTTCATGAAGACGATTCCAATCTTGTTATTTCAAACTCTATCAAAGAAATTGACTTTCATTGACATTAACACAGGCAATAGCAGTGGCCATTATCAATTGTAATCGCTGTATCCGCTAACACCACTGTGTGCCCCCTCTATGTAACATATATCTCATCTGTCTCAAATTTTGACACTTTAGTCCTAATCAGTAGTCCTGAGTAACTGGACAAAAGTCTGAAAGAGATTGGAAACAGTTGTTAATCATGTTAATAGATCAGGATAGTTTTTAACAATTCAACATAAAAATAGGTTAAGGCGAACAACAACTTGGAGAGAAAACGACAGCCGTTTTCAGTTTTTGCTTATAACTTTCGACAGTGTGAATCTAAAGATTAAAACTTCTTTTCAATCAAATTAAGTTAAACTCGTTGAAATTGAATTGAATTACACAGGCGTTTTAAACGACATGCCATCTTCATATCTGGTATTGAGTGCATACTTTGCCCAAAAAATACTTGAAAAAAAGAGACATGAAAGCAACACGTGATATGATCTTGTCATGAGATCCGTCTTAAATAAACGACTACATTGAACAAACTGCGAAACAGCAAACATGGCAGAACGAAGTAGTAAAAGGGGATAACAGTGTCATACGAAAAGCAGTACGTGATGTAAAATAAGAACATATCTAGTTAGAAAATTAGCTGAACAAATGATTAAGAAAACAATGATGTAAAAGTCGTGAGAAGTTGAACAGATGTCAGAGTGAAACAGAAATCGCTTATCTTTCTTGAGAACCTAAATGTATCGTAGTTTTATTGGGTTGCATGCTTGTATCTTGTTATCCCCTAAATTTCTAAAGAAAGTACGAATATATTATAATAGGTATGTTTTTCCATAATGTATTATTCCTTGTTCATTTTATTGCACCTTCTGCAATAGCGGGGTTTCATAATAATCACTATGTCTGTCCGCCGTCACCTATTATCGGCAACTCCTCCTAAAATTGAAAAGAAAATATTTAGAGTTTTTTTTACATGCTACAGTTTTGCACATGACAAACAATGCTCGTGATCTTTTAGGTTTTCACGTGTACTTGTTTAATGGCATTAAGCTGTGAATTGACAGTCCTGTTTAGCATTGTCAGATAAGTTACCAATATAGGGTTGTTTGGAAAAACCTACCCCAAAAAATAATTGTGTTTGCACACGGAGGGAACAGCATACTTTGAAACGAACGTGTAATTAGTATGTACAATGAAGTAATATGTGTGCGCTTTTGAAATTGTTTGTTGAGACTCTGTATACTGCATTTTAATGTGTATTCTCACTGTCTTTTTATACATATGAGTATTACTCGTTACCGTTTTAATAAGACAGGTTGCTGCGAAGAAAACTGAAGTAGAAGCCATTAAATCTAAAATCTACAGTTATGTCGGAAAGAGTATCTGGAAATCATTTTGTATTCTGAATTATTTCACAAAAATGAATAATCATTAAGAAGGATAACCAACTACAGTTTACCTACTATCTGAAGGGTAGAGAACCATATTGATTGAATTGATCTGGACGATGGAGAGGAGACACTCAGGAACAGGTAGTTCATATAGTATTATCGACACGACAATACTAGTATTATTGACAGGCTACAGAATCGGTCATAGAATTTACACAGCATTCCATCATCCCCTTCTCATCGCCCCCAACGATGCTACAGTTTGTACTTTTTATGATAGTGGTGGCCACTAGAAACTAAATGCAAATATCAAAATGACTAAAAAGAACAAGCAGTGTAGACCGATTAACATTGATAACATGAAAAAGCAGATCGATCATTCAGCTTCTCTAAAACACGCAAAAAGGAATAAAATAGGGGGAACCCTTCATAACGATAAATAGTCTTAAAACATCTAAAATCAGAACAAAACCGCAATCCGAATACTTGTCTATGAAAATCCGAGATGCTAAAGAAAAAACACAAAAAGTTATTTCCAGTCACAGTTTTATCAAATACAACTTTCTGTCTTTCGACATCTTGATGTCAATATAAAAGATCACGTAATTTCGCTCTATATCATCAATGGTCTACTTAATTCATTCGAAAATATCAAGTCATGTGTTTCTTCATACTAAGTGGGTCTATACATTTATTCGTCTTTGTTCTATTTAACTTACAAGCGTTCTTCCAATAATTGTTGTGTAATTATACAAAACTTAAATAACAAACATATTGAAATCGTACTTTGCTTCTACATAGAAGGAAGAATTTCTAAAATACTCGTTTCAATATCCGATGCCATACAAAGTGTACTTACCCTCTTTTGCTTAATGATATAACAGGAAATTAAAAGTTTTTGTTCATTTTTAAAGCTTAATTTGATCAAGAAAAAAGTAATTACTACAAATACTTTATGTCAGTATGATAGCTAAACTAATATATTCAATGTAGGACCTTCCAAAATATAGTGGCGATGATGTCATGTATATGTTACAGGCATATTTCTAAATTTAGGCATTTTGCAAAATGACGGAATTTTCATCCAATTCATAAAATGACTAAAATTACCTAGTCATTTTGTAAAATGACTGAAATTTTGAAACAAAATTCAACAAAGTGCCTGTTCAGTTTCAGATCATATGTTAGAATAAAGGATAATTATCATTAAGATACATTTAACCAAAAACGCAATATATCTTGCAAAGAAAATAACTAATTGTTTGGTAAAATTTGAGTTTATCTCCCAAAACGAAAGTTTGTATTCATTTTTAGTGAAACTACGTAAAGTATGTACTCACTTTGTATTGTAACTTTATGATCTTATCATGATGGTAGAAGGACAAATTGTTCTTAATATAGAAAAAAGTTTAGAAACGAATTTTTAGAAAGTCTAGATTTAAAACAGAAGTTTTTTATATGAAGCACAGAAAACAAGCATGTTTTTTTATTGACTGATTATTATTTGTTTGCATTCAGTAGCAAATGTTTAATGCACATTTAAGACGAGAAAAAATTAATAATAAATCAAAAAGCTAAAAGCTAAAAGCTTTAAAATTAATTTATTATCATTGATAAAACTGCTCTGTTGTTTGATACATTTAATTCCTCAGCGTTTGTTAATAATCTATTCTATAAAATAATTTCAGGCATTCAGGCCTTTCAACTTTTCCAGTCATTTTGTAAAATTCTTAAACAGATATGTCAATATATAAAATGACTGAATCATACAGGCATTTTCTACGAGCATTTTAGAAAATGCCTAAAGTTTCATGCATTTTACAAAATGTCTAAATTTTAAAAATGCCTGTAACATATATATACTTACTTTTTTACAACTCCTGCCATTACGGTCAATACAATAATCTACTTCACCGTATTCAAAAATGATTAAAGTGAAGTAATTACCTGGTACACTGATGGCCTTAAATTTAGGCAACAGAAGTTTACTTATGTTCAAATTTACCTTAGAAATATTTGGCACAAATTTTTTGGAATTTTTTGTTTCCAATGTTCTCAACTTCGTATCCAACTTTTTCGCCACCACTGTCTTGTATAGACAAAACATGAGTCTGGCGTATTAATTTATAGCTCTAGGTGATTACTTTCGAATTTTAGTCCAAAATATTAAACTTAAGAAAAAAAAATCTTCGTCTTAACAATAAAGTCATGACAAAAATTTTTACAATAGTTTAGAATATGTTTTTTTTTACAAAATGAATATTTGTTTTGGTTTCTTATAAACATACCGTGCTATCTAAACCCCTTTTCCTTGTATTTTTGCATGATACGTGTTATAAAATAACCTTAAAATGAATATACTTCCTTAATGTGAACGAAACATTTTGAGTTGATTATTTGAAGTAACAATTATATAGGATATATGGGTAAGTCATATCACTAGATATTAAAGATAAACTTATTTGAAATATAATACTTAACAACACATACATAAAAATAAGAAGATGTGGTATGAATGCCAATGAGACAACTTTCCACCGGAGTTATATGTCCGTTTTGGTGTTTTATCTTTTCGGCATGTATTCCTGTTGGCAACAATAGTGTTTCTTTAGCATCAGTCTTTTCTAATTATTATGAACTCAATAAACATCTGAATTTTGTTAAACAAAAAAAAAACATAAAACAAAAATTGGTAGCACTCAGCATTATCTGCAATATTGTTTCCTTTAAAAAATCAAGAACTCTTTTATTACGTTGTCGAAATTTATCCACGGAAACTGACTTTAAACAAATTTAATATGACCAGGAAGAAATGTCCCTTTATTGCTTTAGATCATTCTGTTTCACAAGGGAAATGCTATATTAAAACGACAATAGGGAAGATTCTATGTTCCCTTTAGTTATAGGTTTTATTTTTACTTGCGATGATTATATTTCCCAACTCCTTCTCGGTACTAAGAAATGCAAAAGAAAAAGCTGTCAAAATATCCTTACTTCCTACAGTTTTTGTTTTTTACCTTGTTTTGTCTCCTCAATTGATTTATGAGGTTTGAACCTCGGTACACAACTGTTGCATAAATTTGAAATTGCAATAGATATTCAGATATGAGCTGAAGTCTTACCCAATACGGTATTTTGACACACGATGTCTTTTTCAAAAGCAATGTGGGAAAACATCTGTGGGTAAGGTCTTTGTTCATATCTTATTTGATCAGCGAGAAGGAAATCGGATATAATTCAAAATTACAAAGCTCTGTATTCATATGCGATGAAGACATAGGTGAAAT